TAGAGGGCACCGTAAAGATATGGAGGAAGATAAATTTACATTTTTGGTCTACATTTAAAATGGAATCGTCTGTGGGGAAGTACCTGCATTTTTTTGAATGTGCCATTTCCCCCCAGTGGAGCATGGAGGTGGGATGTTTTTCTTCTGCAAATGATTGAAGTTGAGCCATGGATGGAAGTAAATGGAGGCCAATCCTGGAAGATAACCTGTTAGAAACAGCAAACGTCTTTATTACTGTGTGTATCAACACAAACCTCCGACAGCAACAAAAATCTTTTCGACCCACGCTAGAAAATTACTCTGTTGCATGGGGGAAAAAATGACATGTTTCCTTAGTTAAATTTTTCTTTTATGAATTTACATTTTAAGAAGCTCCAGAAATCCCTCTATTTGCATACGTTACTGCCCTCATGTGGTCTTTGAACAAATGGTTTTATTGCTTCTCCGAGCACCACAGATGAACACTACTGGTTTTCAGTGGAACAACGTGCAAGCATCCGCCTACATGTTCGCAGAAGCAACGCCAGCAGGCTGCCTCTCAGCAGGGCATAATGATCTTTGTACTTTGGGATGTTCATGTGCACATATTTGCTCATTAGCAATGAAAACAGAAGGCCAAGCAAAGCAAAACAACACACTCAAAATGACAACCCATTAATGAGAACATTTGGGGAAAATCCCAGATTATGGTGTCATTCTCATGCAGACTTGTGGCTTGCATGTTCATGGCTGAAAAAGGGTATTGTGTAGTTTAAGAAGTGGGAGAGAAAGATTAAAGTACATATTTTGGGCAGTGGAGATATTGGAGTTTTACTTGGTTGGAAATTTTTGATTATTTTGCTTTTTTTCTTTACCTTTCTTTACCTGTGTGTGTTCAGGCAATGATAATAATCATCATCATAATAAAACATCCACTGCCAGTTATTTTAAGCATTTCTAGAGTTGTTCAGATTGTAGATACAGGCATACTTCAGTGTGAAGCTATTTTCTTCTTAAAACCAAAAGAGGGAGGTTATTTTCTCACCTCTGCCTTTCTTTGAATGTCATGCTCTCTCTTGTCTTTCAGAAACTGAGTATTTGTCTTCCTGTTCACACAGGAAACATGAAGAAGGTGCTCCTCTCAACTTTTCTGTCCTGTCTCCAGCAAAGGGAGACAGGGTGAGGTAAACTCTGGAGAGGTGGATAAAGGGTGAAAGCCAAAGTACCCAGAGAGAGGCCACGCATTCACAAGGAGAATGTGCAAATTTCTTACAGAAAGTCCCTCCTGCAACTTGAACCGACTTCTTTCTCTGAGGCAACAGGGGTTAAAAACTCCGGCACTGTGCAGTCAAATAAACAGGATTATGTTCCTGAACACCCTCATCAACCTAAAAGAATAAAACAATAATGCAAAAATTAAACTTAGTTACCTTAATTTTAGAGAAATGTCTGAGTAATTTATGGTACCAGTTTTGCAAAGCTATTTCATAAAGTGAGATTGTTTCCAAAAACTGATTTTTTTAATACATCACATTCAACTTCCTCCATGCGCTGGAGGGCGTTAGAAAGAAAACAAATTGAAATGGCCGTCCCTTCTCTGTGTGCGTTCCTCTGTAAGCCTTCCGGAGTTCATTTTTCTTCACATTCTTCTCATTGTAGTTGTGTTTAGTTTATTGGTTGGTTACTGTGTTTATTTTACTCTTTAACTTCTGCTTTTTACTTCACGTTTGCATGTCTGTTTAAGCAAAGTCCTTCCTTTTCTTTACCAATCAAATTAAACATTTTGTGAATATAATGACAGATGTGTCACCAATCTAAATTAAAAATCAGACATATATGTAAACTGGTTCTTTGGTTTTAGGCATTAACACACTCTTGCATGAATGGTTATTAAACAAGTAGCTGTTTCATTCTCGGAGACCTTATTTGTGCACAGTGTAATCACATGTGGCTTCTTCTCACAGTGAGGCACCACATTGCAATCCATCTGTATTTAGAAAGCTGAGGTTGTGGTCAGGAGCAGATCAGGCTGCGCAAACGGAAAAAACCGTTGGCGTTACTGAAGTGCTCATTGTCTTCGGTGATGAAATACAAACAAGTGGGCCAAGAAAAATTCTTTCCCTAAAGTATTTGCTCATCAACATTGAGTACTGTTTGAGAAAGATCTTCACTTTGTCATGATTCTTGTTGACTTTGGCTTTCATTGTCTCTGGGTTTATTCTTGTTCTGTTGCGGGGAACTCCGACTCTGGTCCCCGATTGGCACTGCCCTGCAACCCTTAGATGTATCCCTGCTGCAGCACACCTGAATCAAATTAATGGCTCATGGCGAGACCTCTGCAGAACTTGGTGACATGTAAAGGAGGGATTTCATCTATTTGATTCAGATTTGTGAGATCTGAAATGCATGCAAGATTTTTGCAGGATTGGAGTTCCAGATCCCGGGTCTCTGATCATATTCTGTTTCGTTATTCTTCGATGTTCACTGCAGTGTTTTAATTTGCCTTTATCCTCCCAGCTAACCCTACTGCTTGATGATATTGGTTTAGCTTTATTTGAGTAACTGACATGATATATTTAAAAAATTATTACTGTTCAGAGGTGTGGGGAATTAATTACAAAAGCTCTTTACAACCACTCGTTTCTGAGTATCCTGCAGAAACGAGCCATTAAAATCCTCCATAATGTCAGTTTTCATGAGCACACAAACCCATTTTTCTTAAAATCTAGAATTCTTAAATTTGAAGATCTGGTGGAATTTAAAATAGCTTAAATTATGTTTGAGGCATCAAATAAACTGTTACCTGAGCACATACAGAACATGTTTCTTGAAAGAGAAAGGGGATATAACTTAAAGGGTTATTCAAATTTAAGGATTAATAGTATATGCACAACAAGACAGAGCTTTTGTATTTTAATTCATGGTATAAAATTATGGAACAAATTAAATGAGTTAAAACATTGTAAAAAGGAAGTAAAATAGTCTGTTTAGATTTTAAGATTCAACACTTTTATTGACGGCCTGCATTTACCTTTATAAACCACAAGATGGCGCAAACGGCTCGTAGAGGTGAACAAACAAAAAACCCACCAGAACAGCACACACCACATTATGACTGCAATGGTAAGAAGCAGTATTGCACAGTACTTGGAAGTTAACTTTGCTCTTTTATTTTCATTATTACATTTCATTACATGCAATAGCCATCACTTGGGTTATATGTTTTTAAAATTGCTTTTAATGCTTTAAAGGTTTCAAAAACCCTTCAAAAATAGATTCACCTCTTCTGATTAAAAAAAATTATAATAAAAAAAACACTCATCTTACACAGGCACAGTTCTGGCAGAAGTCGGTCACATTGTCTTCTCAGCAGCACATTAAGGGACAGTATGGTAGGATGCAGACCACCCATCTTGACCAGCCCTGCACATTCCAATATGGACTCAAGAGGTGGCCTGGTCAGCAACTGGAGAGCCGAGGAAACAGCAGGACACCTTTGATGTCTACATTCAGGACGAACTCTGCCAGACAGAGCATTTCACTGAAGAGGCTCGTGTATTTTTATTGTGTGTTAAATGTAATTTTATCAGGGTAGAATAAAGATAGAAAAAATGTTGGGGTTTTTTTTCAAAGTGCGGGAGAATTTTTGAGCTGCTCTTTGACATTTTTGAATAACCTCCTGTGTAAAAGGAAATCATATCAGCTCCCTTTGTGTTTACACAGGGTTCAAGCGGAGTAACTTCCTTGATTCTTTCTTTTTGGACTCTTCCTTTTTAGGCAATGGGCTGCTGCCTTGCAGGCCCTCCTGGGATTCTGTGGGAATTCCTTAGCTGGTTTGCTTGGCAGCTGGTTTTCAATCTTGAAATGTGTTTTGTTTCAGGAGGTTGGGACGGAAAAGGAATTGAGAAGATAATATAGCATGTTGGGCCACTGGCAAGAGATGGTTGTATAGGCATCTGGAGTGCTTTGCAAAATTGTTGACGTGCGTTCCCCCCCACCCTTAATTTCACCAAATCCTGTGACGTTACAACCAGAGACCCGATTAGACCATTAGACCCCATGGTTGGCTTTCTGAATAGTACTCTTATGTTCCCTTTATTACTGCTTTAAATTTCTCCACAACTACTGAGATTAAATTACATACAGGTTGACTATTTTTCACTAAATGGGTGAGTAGTGAAATCTGTGGATTGCACTGGATTTCAAGCTATGATAACATTTAATTTGCCTTTGGGATGATACAAGTCATTTTGAACTGAAGTGAACTGTACTGTGCTGAACTGAATTGTGCACAGCATTGCTGCCTTGCAGTAAGAAGGCCATGCGTTTGAATCCCGACCTGAGATCTTTCTGCATGGAATTTGCACTCTCTCGTGGATGGATGGATGGATTAAGCACGCCACAACTTTCAGATTTTTATTTGCAAAGGGTTTCCTCTCTAACAATACTATGTGATGGTCTAACATATAGAATAAAAGTAAATTTAAGTTAAGTTTGTAGTTGTAATGTGACGAAATATGAAAAAGTTCAAGAGTTATGAATAATTCTGCAATGTAGTGCACATAATGAAAATACCAACAAGAGTAGCAGCAATGACTAAATCGTCCTTCTTTATCGTGTAAAATGTATTTGCAAAATCCAAACGCGTTTCATTATCGAGTCATCGTGATTATAAATGTATGATTAATGTGATCTCACCTCCTTTATTGAGATGTAGTTTCCTGTGAGTCATAGCTTCTACGTCTGCGGTGGCAGTACCAAACTTAAACGTTACTTATTATTCAGTGCACAGGGGCAGGAATGCTTGAAGAGACACATATTTCCCTTTTAGGACATACGGATCTATTACGTAATTTAGGGAGCACTTGGAACTGAAGCTAGCAAACTCGACGGTGTGGGAGTGGGAGGTCGTAATATTAAGCGACACTACCGTTGACCAATCGGACACGAAATTCCCTTTGTACTCGCTCTCTGATTGGTCGGATGGTAGGATGACGCTAAATTCGGGACTTTTTTTTTTCTTTGCGTTGATGGGTTTACAGGAGTAGTTGAAGTCTTCACGCTGTGCCCCGGCTGAAAGAAAGGCGGTTGGCTGCGGTTTTAGCTGCTTTTTCTCGCAGGACTTTTTGTTGCGGCGGAAACTGCCCTAAGTTGTTGGACATTCTTATCGGATAGAGATTCAAAACTGTCAAAATGCCGGTTTTCCACACGAAGACGATAGAAAGTATCCTGGAGCCGGTGGCTCAGCAAATATCCCATCTGGTGATAATGCACGAGGAAGGTGAAGTTGACGGGAAGGCTATCCCAGATCTGTCCGCGCCGGTGGCTGCGGTGCAGGCGGCCGTTAGCAACCTGGTTCGGGTGAGTAACTTTTCTCCTCCTCTTGTGTATGAAACTCTCCAGTCCAGTCCGATCAGGCTCGGCTGGGGTTGGTAGCCCTGCCTACCTGTCGCTTTGTCCCACGTTTTTCACTCTCGAATTGAATTAAACGTTAAAACACGACGCCTTCATCAGCCAGAATACGAATGAAAATTCTCAATTTACTTGCACGCAACCACAGAGGAGATGTATGTTAGGTATTAAACTTTTCCTGAAGTGGATAGAGTCGGGGCAAAGGGCAGTGACGCCCTTTTCCCCCTTCAAAGCTTGCCCTGCCCTCCTGAGGAGCTGACTGCCATAGTTCTACGTAGGCACTAGTTCAGTGCTTGAGTGGTGTGGGCAAACTACAGACAGAGGCGGTTCTGGCATGACTGGCACCCTGGACGAACCCGTCCGATAGCCACCACATAAACCACCAAACACACACCTGCCAATATAAAGAACTAAACTTATCAGAACCAGAGCTAAATGACTTTTATCTGATTTTAACGAGTTGCTAAAAACAACAACAATAAAAGAAAGTTGTATGAAAGAGAGACTTTAATAAAGTGGTGAAATAAAATAACTTTTAATTGATGGCAAGGTAAGTTTATTTAATATAACTATTCATATAGAAATGCAAGAGTAGCTATATCAATAAGATAGATTTAAAATGTACTTTGAAACCTGTAAATACTACTGTAAATTTTTTTATCTTGCCATGAAACATCAAACAATCTTTTATAGATCAGACAGTTAATTGACTTCTAATTGTCCTTTATATTCAATCAGAAGCTGATCTCCAACACTGAAGAATGGAACTCTTATACTTCAGACAAATATTCCAACAATATTAATCTGTAAATGCTGTAAAGGCTACGTGATATCCTTCTTGACAACCATTACAGACTACAATAACTCTTTGAAGAGTTTTTAATTAATATGAGCTACAACATTTAATTTCAATTTAAGAACAATAAAGTATTTTTGAATTGAATTTAAATCGGTCCTTCATTTTGGGAGATCGGCGATCTGCCGATACTTGCATAAGAAACTGATCTTATCCATCAATTTTACATATCTAATCAGAGGTCTGAAAATCAACCACTGCCTTGTTTTGCTCTGCCATGAGAGAGGGCTGACTGACAGACCCGCCTACCAGGTCATGAAGGCACATGCGCGGCTAACAATACTCACCCTAACATCTTTTCAGACAAAAAATTGGTATAGGAATTGGCAGATCAGGCTTTTTAAAGATTGGTGATTGGCCAGAAAACTCCAATCAGTGCACCTCTAATCTGGGATTTTCTCAATCTAACATGGTCCTACTGCCTAGAAGGCATAAAAAGTTGAATGAACTCTGAATTGTTCTTATAAATCTGTTTTCATTATATAATACCTTAGTTTTTAACTTACTTTCCCTTTGCTATTGAAGTGTTTCCTAATTGCGGTAAAGATGTAAAACTTTAAGATCTTTAAGACATACTGAAATATTGCATTTCTGCCCTCAGTGGAATTATATCTAAATTCTTAGTAATTGTGCATTTTGAGACAGTCACATATTTTTAAACATGAAATGAAACACACCCCCTTTCTGCAGAACAGTTATAATTTGGGGCATCGTTAGAATTAGCTGTGATCTGCCCTCACTGGTGTTCACAGTCACACTGGTATGCTATAACTGAAACCATGTAAGGAAATAATGCTATTTCCTTTTTCTTTGTCTATCACAAGAGACAAACCAAGTGTGTTGCTCACCCGCTGTCAGTCTTGTTAAGGCAGACTGGCACTGTCAGAGGGTGACACATTTTAAAGATCACTCCAGCAAAAGCTAGAGTGATCTTTATGTTGATGTTGGTTCATAAACCAAATGAACCAACATCAGCATATGACGTATATCCCAACTGAACCAAACAAATCACAACCAACTGTGGAAACTTGCCATTGTGCCTTAAGCAGCTTTAATTGTGTGCCTCTCCACTCTTACAAAATGTATTTTTACCTGAAAATCTGAAGACTTTGATCCAGTCGGCAACAATCCAGACCTTCAGTGCTCGTGTATCTTCTTCTAAGACACATTTTCCTTCCACTGAACTTCCAATCAGCATGCCTGAATACAGTACTCTATGAGCAACTGTTTCTTTGGCAATGATCTTTTATGACTTGCTGTCATTGTGGAGAATGTTAATGACTGTCTTCTGAACAATTGTCAAGTCAGCAGTTTTCCCATGATGGTGTAAGCCATAACATTTCTAGATTAAAATCATTTTTCTGTGATTTTATGCAATTTTATAGCTTTTTGAGAAACTATTTTTGGCATTTATTAGCTGTATCCTGAAATCATTCAAACTAACAGAAGTAGGGTGGCATTGTGGCTTAGTGGTAGAGCAGCTGGACCAACCAAAGTTCTAGTCCTTGATACAGCAGTCCATGGTTCGATTCATGATCTGGCCCATTTAATGCATTTCTTTTCTCTCTCTACTGTTCTTACTTTAAACTGCTAATTAATATAGCTCCCCGGGGCCACACAATTTAAAAAAAGCAAAGTAAAGACTCAAAATATATTCCTTAATCTGAAATAATTCTGAGTTGTAATTTTTGAATGCAACTGCTTAAATAAATGTACTTTAATGATATAATAAATGATTGAGCTGCGCTTGTGTAGGCCTCACATGTTTCAAGCTTCATTTCTTTGTTTTTGTCAAATCTCCAAAACTTTTGGTCTTGACCCATCATTGTCCATTATTTATGTCTACACCCAACCAGACTTCCTTCCTCTTTGGAGGCAAAAGAGGGGTTAAAAGGTATAGCAATTACTACTAGCACTCCATAAAAATGTATTTTTGCTGCTAGGACCATGTCTTTAATCGTTTAATCATGTAGTTATGTGGTAATTACACCCTTTGGGTTTTGGAAACTTGCAGGGAAAAACTACAGTTTCACTGTTTACAAAGTGCTGCTTATGTTAAGCACAGACAAAGTCCCTCAAAGAATATGGAACTTTTTTGCTTTTAGCTTATATTTAACTAATTGTCACTAATATTAGAAAATATTTAAATGTCTGTTGGCTTGTAAAGTTATTCTGTTTTGGTTGTAAGACCTCAGATTGTATAGAAAATATGTGATTTAGTTAAGTTTGGACCAGATCTAAATGAGAGGAAATACGACTCAAAATAAAGACATGTTTTTGTCTGTGGGACTCTACTTGAATTGATAATGTTTTGGGTTATGCGGTTCTGCAATAACTGATAAAGCGAGACAGTCACTGCAGCTTTAAATATAGAAACTGTACTGAGCTCTGGCCATCGTATCCTGACACATGAAAACATCCCCCTGCGAAGATGAAACACGCCAGACTCTCTGGACGTTCTTCAATTGTAGTCAGATGTTTCTAACAGTGGCCTGAATCAGTGCACGAGTCTGTAATTATTTCCAGTTGCTGTAGCAACATTACAACATGGATAGTGTTATGAGATCATTGAAGTTGGTTTGGAGATGTAATTGCTTTTGGTTTCAGTCTCCTGAGTCATAAACGACTAAGCTTAAGCCTAAGAGGAAAAACATACTGTGTGGCTTTTATCTGTGACTTTTTCCATGATTTTATTTGCTTGACTTTATATTGGTTGTTCTAACAGGAATTACCTTTGGATGAGGAGATTTAGCAGCTTAATTACATTGCGGAATATTTAGTTAAGTTAAAGTCTACACAAAGTTTTGTAATCCTTGTCAAAAACCATATTCAGCACTGTTACTAAAGATTATAGATGTATTGTTTTAAAAAATGAAGTTTCATGGTGTGCTACTGAAGGACTTAAACCTGTCTGAGACGATAAGGTGCACTCTTTTTAGAGCTTGAATGTACAGCTGTAAAACGTCAGCGATGAACCCAGGAACTGAAAGTTTGACATGACCACAAACTGGTTGCCTGTTTAACCAGCGACCGATCACTTGTGCTCGGCATGATTTGTTATCGTCAGGGCAATGAGAGAGACCTCAATTAGAAATGAATGTAAGGAATGTGAAGAAATTCCAACGAGCCTGGACGTACCCCCCCCACACACACACTCATAGGCGGGGGTTAAAGCGGATTCTTCGGATCACTTTTTTAAACAAGTGGATTTAAAGCACAAGAAGCCTACGCTGAAAATCTTTTTGTGTTAAAAGAAGCAGGTCACCTACATTTCTTTGACTGCTTGCCGTGGGAAAATTCCCTGATTGGTGTACAGTCTGACCAACACTTGTGCAATGACCTTGTGTTCACGACACAAATGGTTGTTTCAGCAGCAACCTAATGTAAGAAATATTCTAATAGAATTGTGCGACCCTAAGCAATACTTCTAGAGAAAAATATTGAGTTTTTGCAAACCTACTTTGTGAAACATGTTTGTGGTGCTTTGGAAATGCTGTTCCTCAGCAGGGACTAGACAGCTGCTTATGGGAAGATGGAGCTATTCAAAATACTTTCTTTATCCCAAAAGGAAAATAAATGTCACTGATTATGTCATTCAAGCATCTCCAAAGAGCCACTATGGACAGGAAGGCTCTCTGGTAGCGGTCAGTCTTGCAACAAATCTGAAGACTGTTGCTGTATGACAGTCAAAGCATGCTAACAGCCCAAGACCAGGTGTTGAAATGAAAAACAGTTGAAGGTTAATGAATACTTTTGCAAGGTAGTGAAACAACAAGAACCTAGTTGCTAGCCAGATCTTTTATATATATATATATATATATATATATATATATATATATATATATATATATTGAATTAAACAGCTCTTTTAAATAGTTTACTGGTTGAGTAGATGGAAGCACAGTTTTGTCTTGCTTAACAATCTTCTACTTGACTTCAGAGACCCGTTTTACTTCATTACCTTTGTGGGCTGATTTTTTTTTTTTTTTTCTTTAAGGGTAGTTTAAAAGAATGCAGGGGGGATGTTTGAGGCAAAGTTTTGTCATGACATGACTTTTGGATTCTTCTGTGTGTAGTATATTTACTGGCTCTG